TCAAAATATAGTAGGTTCTCTTTAAATTCAAAATTGGAAGTAACTTGAGGCTAAAAGGAATATTTTTTTAATATCATGAACAAGAAGCTTTGAGGACATATTTGCTTGGATTTGCTTGAAAAAAGTCAAATCAATAGTCAATGTTGATTTCATTTCTTGGAGATGAAATTATTCTAAATTCAATAAAATTATCTTTTATTGGTCAAACGCTATTTTTTTTTCTTTTGGTATAAGATAAAAATATTTAAAATAGACATCAGACAAACCTTGTTATTTTCTTGGTTGATAAGTGATATTGAATTTGAATCTTGACAAAAATATGCTACAACAAGCCTGGCGACCATTCAAAGTACGTGCTTATATGAAATACTTGAGGTTCTTATAATTTATATATACACTGTCTAAATTTGAAGCATCTTCTAAATAATGATGCCATTCTTAAAAAAAATCCACGATTGTAAGAAGTTCCTTGTCATGGATTTCATAATTAAACTTGGCTATTGAAAAATTTCTTGAATGAAAAGCAACTGGATGAAATTTGTCATCTACTCCTATTTGTGACAAGACTACACTTAAGGCAAAATCAGATGCATTTATCTCCATAAAAAATGATGTGGAGAAGTTGACGCGATGTGAGATTGGTACAAAAGTAAAAGCTTTCTTCAAAGCTTCAAATGATGCTTTTGCTTCTTTACTCCACTCAAGCTTGTCTTTACAAATTATGCATGTAAGTGGTACTATAATTTGAAAAAAATTCTAAATAAAGATCTGATAGTAATTAGCAAATCTCAAAAAATATTGTACATTTCTTATTATTTTTGAAATCTTCTAGTCAATGATTATGTGAATTTTTTTAGGATCCATCATTAGACCATTGTTTGAAATAATGTATTCTAAGAAGTCAACTTAAGTAGTGTAGAATACACACTTTTTTTTATCTTGGCGTACAATCTTGTATCTCTAAATTTTTGTAATATATGACAAAGATGAACTTTATGTTCTTCTGCATTTCTAGAATAGATAAAAATATCATTTAAGTAATAGACAACAAAATCATCTAAAAAATCACAAAAAACATCATTCATAAGATGTTGAAAAGCAATTGGTGTATTTGTGAGTCCAAAAGGCATGACATTATATTCAAAGTATCCATACCTTGCTCAAAAAACAATCTTTCATTCATCTCCTTCTTTAATATAGACAAGATTGTACGTTTCTTATAGATTTATTTTTGTATAGATCTTAACTTGATTTAAGTGATGAAGAAGTCCAAATATCAAAGGTAGAGGATATCTATTCTTCATGGTAATCTTATTGAGTCATTGATAATCTTCTTATATTTATAATAATCCATCTTTTTTCTTTAGAAATAAGATAGGAGCTCTTGTAGGAGATTTTGAATGGCATATGAAATTCTTGGCTAATTTTTCATCAATATACTTCTTGAATTCAACCAATTCATTTTGTGATAAACTATAGATTGGACCAAATGGCAGCTAAGTTCTTTCTTTAAGATTGATTGAACAATCATATGAATAATGCTTTGGGAGACTATCTATATTTTTCTTCTCAAAAATATCTTGAAAATCTCAATATTTATTTAAAATTTCACTTAAAATCTGTCCATCATTTAAAATGGGTGTGGTGTAAATAACAAAAGACAATCTCTTTTTTGCAGCATGCAAAAAAACTTTTGTACCAACAAGTACACATTTGGCTATACTAGACTCATGGCTTTCTACTGGATTAGAAAGACTCTTAATGATGTTTGAAGAAAAGTCAAGTTTACAAGAAATCCAATCTATCACAGGATTATAATTTTTTAGCCATGATAAACCTAAAATGACTAGATTAGAAGGAGATCTAATTACATTAAAAATTATGCGACTATTATGACCATTTATTACTACATCTATAAGAAGTATTTCATAAGTAATATTTCTAGAAGATAACAGATGACCGCCTATGACTTCTATGTGTACAGATTTAGTTTTTTGTACTAACTATATATTATGACTTTTAATAAATTCTTCATCTAAAAAACAAACTAAGGCTCTTAAATTCATTAAAGTAGAGGCTTTATAATTATTAAATCCTAAACGTACATCTATGTAAAATAAAGAGAGGGTTCTAAAAAAAAAATAGGACCTTTATTAGGAATTGTACAAGATTTTAGCCGCATGGTCCCTATTGTAGCTCGACAAATTTATTTTTTAACATGTTTTCATCTTTGACAACAGTATTCCTCATTTTGTAGTTGCATTGTTTCTTTGGACAATATTGAGTAGTATGCTTAGCTTCTCTACAATATAAACATAGTCCTTCATGACAACAACAAATCTTTTTTTGTTTGATAAGAGGTTTAAAATGTATTGCATTAATTTGCATGTCTTTTACTTCCAAATGTTTAGATTGAAAAGTCATTGGTGTCATCATTGAATTGTAATAACATTGAGGTTTCTTTGTGTGATTCTCACATTGAAACTCAAAAATTTGATTATCATATTTCATAGTAAAGTCAATTGCTTGATTCAATTAGGTAAATTAAGCATCAATTTTTTTGCTTCATAATATAATCCATAGAAAAATTGGCTAATGAATGTTGCATCATTCTATTTAATATCTATCGCTAATTATCAAAATTGTGAAGCATATAATGTCACTAATTAATTGCTTTATTGCAAGATACAAATCTAGTTGGTTGCAACATGGATTGCATCATGTTTTCTATACATAGATCAAAACTCCGCTAAGAATACTTCCAAATTATTCAATATTGGATCATGTCATTCAAGAAATAATAAAAACCATGATAAAGCAAAACTTGAAAGTAGTGTTCCAATAAACTTGCCTTATGATCCTTGAGTTGGATAACTTTGAGGTTGTAGTTCAATCACCAGTTATACTTGATTGATGAATCCTTGAAACTTAGATCTTGTGCCATCAAACTTCTCAAGCAATCCAATTTTTGGTTCTTTGAAACTTGAACAAGTTCTATTGTACGAGCAGTAATATGGCTTGGTGTAGATGTTGAAGCAACTTCAATCATTTCTATATCTTTATTGCTTAATACTCTTATTGTTTCTTGAGGTAATAGATTGAATTAATGCATTGCAAGCATTAACTCTCTCATTTGATCTTGCATTTGAGCCATTACATTCTTCATTTTAGCAAGCTTTGTCATGCTATCACAAAAAAAAATAAAAATATATATATATATATATATATATATATATATATATATATATATATTTTCACATAATACAATATTCAAGAATCAAGAAAAAAAATTCTATAAATAATATAAGTTTAGAAGAGGGTAATCTGTTACTTCTAATATGCTTATGTCTTATCAAGAGAAAGAGGTAATCCACTCTAAATCAAGAAAAGACAAAGCTCTGATATTGTATGTGTACTCTTGTTAATCTGTTTAGGATACAAACTGAAAGAAGATACATAAACTTGTGGAATCTGTGTCATAAAAAAAGTGAAAAAATAGAAGAAAGAATGTATATTCAAGGAAGAATTGGAATAGCTATTGCCAAAGTCTAGAAAACATAAGATCCTTGAAACTAGACTAAAAGAAAAAAAAAGTGTTGAGAAGAGTGAAGATGGCCTCACTCTTGCCTCTATATATATTACTTAATTAAAAACTATATGGCAATATGCTATAGGACCTCTAATACACGTCCAACTGGCAGGACATATGTTTAATTTGCAAGGCAAGTTTCCTAAGTGTTCGCAATATGTCCAACTTATATTACAAGTGATCAACATGTCGACACATGGCCTCCTTATTGGCCAAGTTTTCAACCTACCAATTATCTATAGACATATATAAAGGTAAAGCAACGTCTATGAAGCTTCTAGAAAGCTTTCCACAAGATATTATCATATTTATTTATTTTGACTTACTTCTACCTATTCTTATTATCTAGATAATTATCAAGGTAAATATGTATGTCCATGATAACAACTTGTAATTGAACACTTCACTTGCTCTCAATTTTTGCACAAAAGTTGAAAGTCAAGTCGAATATTAGTTCCAATAAAAATCACCTCAATCCAATCAGCAAAAGATTACAAATCTTAGATTACTCTATTGGACCTAAAAATCCAATTTTTAAGATCTTAACTTATTTGAACTTCAATAATCTCCAATCCAATCATTTGATTAAGTTCAAATTTACAATATACATTTAACACAACTATATTCACACCTCTACAAAATTTCAGTTATATATCTACTTTAAAATTCAAGAAATTGTCTAAATAATAATTCTTATTTTATTTTAATAAACCTAGAGTCACCTAAAACAACCTTGACTTTACAAAGCTCTTAGAAAATTATTAAAAACTCAAATCTTCCAAAAAAAATGTTTTAATAAATCTTATAATGTCTTCTTTCAAATTCCACTCTTTGATTTGCAAAAGAAATGTGGAGTCACCATAAGTATGTAATTTTGTGCTTGAGGATGTGATTTTAATCCAAGATGACAATTAGATCTCTTTAAGTATAAATTTTTATCTTCTTGAAGTAATTTTTGCTAAAATAAACTTCTAACTTCTTCCAACATATGTCTACAATTTCTTTTATTGTACTAATACAAGATATTATATTAATTGAAGAAGCTTAATTAATATTCTATGGTTCAATATATTTAATTATTGGAAGACACAATGATATTTTTAAACATATATTGCAATGATGTTTTTTTCAAACTTTTGCACACCAAAACATGTACAACAAATGCAACAACCATGTCCGACAGTGTCGATCACTCACTTGTAAACATGACAAAGGAATATCTCGTAGTGTACGCCAATGATTTGTGCACGACTTGTCCGGCCATGACGCCTGAATTTGACAATCGTTGAGTAGATGGGCAGACCATGACGCCTGAATTGCGTAGATGGGCGGAAAAACTTCCGACGCAGGGATAGCAACACATCGTCGTCGTGCTCACAAGTGCCGCCTTCATGGCAATGGCATGCAATGCAATGTCACTCTCTTCAGTACAATACCCCAGCACAATACAATGCTTGTGCCCCTCGGAGCTCACCTCGCGGATCCGGCCCCCTCCCTCTCTGTCTCTGTCTCCGCCATCGGAATGCGGCATATCCTTCGCCTGTGGTTTCCTTGTCCCCCTTTGCGCCATTGCCTTCCGCGGCCCTCCAGCGACCCCGCAGCTCCACAGTTCTCGAGGTCTGGAATTCGGTGTTCGAAGTCGCGTTCTTCCAAGTTCGGGAATGGCACGGTGAGTCCCGTGGTTTCGAGATCCTTGGGCAATTTTGGAGGTGCGGTGGAGCTTTCTGAAGGGGTTTGATTGCCGCGAGGTGTAGAGGAGAGGGAGGGATACGAGCGGCATGGAGCATGAAGCGGATGAGTTGCAAAGTGCGCCACATGATGGGCGACTGGTGTTGGAGGATCGACTGAGAGGGAAGTCTTTGACGGTGCTGAGCAAGAGCCTTGTGAAGCCTGCGTCGGAGACGCCGAGCGAGAAGCGGTGGCTGGCGTTTTCGAATTTGGACTTGGAGTGGATGCCGTTTTACACTCCCGTGCTGTGCGCTTACAGGGAGAAGCCGGCGGGGAAGGATGTGGGAGATCATCTGCGGGAGTCGTTGAGGAAGGCGCTGGAGTTGTTTTATCCGCTGGCTGGAAGAGTAGTGACGGGCGGCGAGCAAGGGCCGGGGATTGACTGTAACGATGCGGGCGCCGTGTTCGTGGAGGCGAGCATCGATGCGGATGTGGACGAGGTGCAATTCAACGAGGATTTTCAGCCGTCGTTTATTCTGACGGGCATGGAGGCGGCAGGAATGGGTGGTTATCCGAAGCTCCCCGACAAATCTTCAGGGCGGCCTGGTCTCATCGTGCAGGTTTCTTCTCTCATCGTATTTGGGCATGCAACAAGTATGAATGTGATAGTTTGTTTGAGCCACAATCTGCACTGATTTCTCTTAGCTTATGTTGTTGAGCTCCAAGGTCAACCAGGTTTGGGCTTCTTACATGTTTTGTTTTTGTGTTTGCAGTTGACGCACTTTAGGTTCATTGACGTTACGTGTCATCTCAGGATGTTATACTATGATGTCACAGCTGTATTTGCTAAGCTCCATATCACATGACATGTTTTTCCTTTTCTCTGACACACAATTATAAAAAAGAAAGACATTTTCATGGTCATAAATATTTGGCCTTATTTTTTATTTTTGTATTAAAGTATATTATTCACGTAAGACATCCACATTCTAATTCGATGTTGGCATCGATGGACAACGTCTATGACGAATGTCGTCTAAATCGGGATGAACGAGTTTCCTGCGTCGCAGTGGCATCACCACTTTGAATCGTCTTGGAGTCATTTCGCTGAACAGATAACCAGCTTGTACTCTGACGTTTTTACGTCATCTGTGTTGAGTGGCAGCTTCAATTTGGGTTTTAAGAAAAAGCACACAATGTTCTTGTGCGGGGGGCTCCTTGGGTTTTATCCCAACCCACCACCAGGTACCAGCTGGGTACCTATCCTGCTGTGGGTGTCCTGGAACGCCTCGTACACCATCGCTTGCTTAAGCCTGACGTACATGGAATGGCCTTGCTGAGATAATTGAAGCCCTCGTCACCTCATTACATCCCGTATGTCATTGCGTTCTGTCTCGCAGGCGTCAGTGACAACGATGGGAACCAGATAGTCAATATCGGAGGAGGGGCTGTAGTGCTGCCGTGACCTATAGGACTCTCCAGCTCAGTTGCGCTGCTGGCCGTCAAACCTACTTTACCTTGTGTAGTTTTGGCCTTTGTGTTTGTCTTGTCTTCGGATCGTTGTTGTAGCAGTGGGCATTCTCAAATTTTGGGTGTCATGGGTTCGAACACGGATGAGAGCTCTAGTGTGATCGATAGTGGGGTCGTTCTCGAAGATAGACTGCAAGGGAAATCGCTAGAGCACGTGCAAACGAGCTTCGTCGCGCCCTCCTCAGCAACGCCTAGTGAGAACGAGTGGCTTTTGCTGGGGAAGCTGGACTACTTGTGGGTTCAGTATTACACCCCTATTATTTGCTCGTTCCCAGCCTCGCAGTTCGGGTTTGGATCCGCAGCTGCTGTGGTGGAACGCCTGAGGGGCTCTTTAGCTGATGCGCTGGTTTTGTTCTACCCTCTGGCTGGGAGGGTGGTGACGAGCGATGGCCCTCCGAGGATCCGATGCAACGATGCGGGTGCTGTTTTCACGGAAGCGAGCGTGGATGTGGAGCTTGTCGACCTCAAGATGGACGATTTCCAGCCTCAACCCTTGCTTTCGGGAATGGCAGCTGCGGGGTTTAAGTATTACCCTGCTCTTCCGACGGTTGAGGGTGGTCTTCCAGCTCTTGTTGTACAGGTAAACATCAACTATCAACAGGTCTCTTTTTTTTTTTCTTTTTTTTCTTTTTTTTATAATTTAATTGCAATGGTAGCGCTACAATTGCGACATGAAGGTGCGCTGAGAGACGATGTGTCCTCTTGTAGGTGACACATTTCAAGTGTGGGGGTATTACTTTGGCAGTTAATTGGGCACATGGAGTTGCTGATGGCCGATCTGGTCTCCACTTCATGAAGTCTTGGTCCGAAATTGGACGGGGCATGGAGGTGTCTCTACTCCCTTATCATCGGCGTGATTTAATTCAGCCAAGAAATCCTCCCGTTTCGACCAACCCCTTTAAGCCCGTGACGGTATCACCTGGTGCGGAAATTGCTTTGTCCAATACGACGACAGAGAACGGCAACTCGGACTCAAAAGAGTCTGTTGCAAATTCGGGAATTGGGTCAGAAGCTAGAGGATCCGGAAGGACCTCAACGGCGGAAGAAACGAAGAAGAAATCCCATATCACACCGAAGGCAATCGAGTTAACGAAGAATGACATAGCAAGCTTGAAGACGCATGCTTTGGAGCAGAATCCAAGTATGCATCTGTCAAGAGCAGACTGCGTCTCGACCCATTTGTGGCGCACCATAATCAAAGCTCGTAATCTTCCTGGCAACGCAGTGACTCGGCTATGGGTTCACGTCGAGGGCAGGAAGATGCTGAACTTGCCACCCGGCTACTTCGGCAACGTGATTGGTATGATGACAGTGATAACCACTGCCAAGGAGCTTCGGGACAACCCATTTGCATCCACCGCGAAGATAATCCATTCGTCGGTTGGTGCCATCACAGGCGAATGGTTTCAGGATCTTGTCGACTTCGTCCAATTGATGACACCTGGTGCGTCACTCACGGGCAAGTACGCCCCGAAACCCGCCGGCGAAGTGGCGGTTTCATACCTCATCCATTTTCCTTTCTACGAGCTAGACTTTGGATTTGGTACTCCTGCACATGCAATGCGCAACACCATGGGTGCGTGGGACGGACTGAATTTCATTCTGCCGAGCTCCTGTGGTCCAGAGAATATGCTGCTCTTGGCAAACTTGGACCAAGACGTCTTGAACAGATTCGTCGCCATGGTTCACGACATCCCCGAGTAAAACGCAAGCGGAGGGAAGAGTTTTTAGAAGCGTGTCCGGCTCCAGCGTCATGGTAAGCAATCGACTGAGGCGATTATGAGTACGATTTAATCTTTGCTTGTTTGGTTTTCAGAAATTGCCGCTCAGCAGGTTAGAAGCTTTAGGAGGCACCCTTTCTATTTCCTTCTGTCACAAAAGTAAAAATAGTTCTTCTAAACTTTGCTTGATTGCGTACTTCGTTAACATTCCTTCAGAATTCGAAGACACTTCTTTTACACTCTATGTAATATTTATACTACTCTCTTTTGGAAACATCTATTGTAAGCTCGATTGTACTAATAATAAAAGTGAGACAATAAATGAAAGTACAATATTAGCCAATGAAAACGCCAAGGACAATACTTGTTTTTGTCTCTAGTTTACCTATTTGTTGTTTTCCTCCCACAGCAGAGCTGCTGTCTCCTTTCTCTTTTTCAGGTTTGGTTGTTGGTTTTATTCATTTGTTTGTTAGTGTGTCCTTTTTTTTTGAAGAAACAGGACAATCACAATTATTTGTATGCACAAGAAAGAGTAGAGGAAGGAGAAGTGTGTTCTTTTTTCATAATTAGATTTTCTATTTTTTAAGTATTCTACTTCCTTTTGTCACACAATAATGTTGAAGAGGACTTCATTCACACTTGTTATTTGTTGGACTTATTATTTTTCAAATACTATATCTTTTATTTATACATTTTATTTGGAGAGTGTTTACAATCTCAAATAGAAAAAGATTTTAAAATGACATTATGATTTTTATTAAATTGCTTGTAAAAATAAATCTTAGTTGTTTAATTAAGTGGATAAAATTTAATATGCATATGATATGGTTTATCCACTGTATTTCATAAATAAAAAGATATGATAAGAACTAAAAGTCAATTTATTAAAAAGAAAATGTTAAAAAATTATATAATTTTGCTTAAAATTTTTAGTAAAACAAAATATGTAAATATAATATTTGGTTAATTTATTAACTCTGGTGACTAGAACAAGAATTATGCATCATTATTTCTTCCCTTTAAAATAATTTAAAATTAACTTTAAATTTACAAAAACTATAGAAATTGGAGTGGAAGATATAACCATGTCAATTAAAAAAAAAATAATGAATTAATGTCTTAAATATCACAATAGCTATATTATGTTCTTCAACAAGATATTATCTAAATTAATAATAATTAGAATATTAAAAAATAAATTATATAACATAATAATACATTATTTGGCATTTGAAATACACAAAAGATATATTTTAAACTTTTATGGTCTAAAATTGTTACAATATAATTATTTTTACTCTATATATATATATATATATATATATATATATATATTCTTTTATTTTGTAAACACATGCATGAAAACAAATACAGATATAGGTTTTGATTTCAAAACAAATAACAAGATAATGTTTGCAAATTATAGAATAAAATAAATAAATAAAAAATATATATTGCACAAAACTATTAATAAAAAAATAAATGGCCATAATAATATTTTTTTTGTTAAAATCAACATAAAGCTATAATAAAAATAATTATTTTAACATATATTTAATTTTATATTTTATCTAATGAAAATTTGATTTTTTAGAAAATAAATTAAAATGATCTATAAACTACAACAAGTAGTAATTTTTTTTCAATTCTTTAATTTTAAAATTTAAAGGTTGTGTTAAGTTTACATCTTTAGAATTTAACTACTTTAAATATATAAATATATATATATATATATATATATATATATATACATAATAAAAAAATTAACTTATACATAATAATATTTATTTTTATTTAATTTTACATGATATTTTAACTTTAAAAAAGTATCACAATTTTATTGTAATTTGTATTTTTATTCTTATTTCTTTTATTTGATTTATACAAGAAACATAGAGCTACAAAATTTATTTAATCATTTTTTACAACAATTATTTTAGATTATTCTTTTTTAAATTAACATTATATTCTTTTTAATTTTTTAATATATTATACCATGATTTTTGTAATCATATTATTATAAATAATTAAATAAAAAATAATCAATTTATGTAATTTTTTAGAAATATATTCTATAAAATAAAATTAAGGTACATAAATAAACTATCAACCATATTATCAGAATTATAAGATTATTATCATACTAGTAGCAATTATTGCTACTAATAAGAGAATAACTAGTAAGACAATAATCTATTGTCTTACTAGTTTAGAGTAAATGAATACACTTTAAGGTAAATGCACATATATGCATCATAAAAGATGTTACATATACCACCTTGTATCTTATTCAATAAATAATAGGTGTTTTTGCATACTATTAATGACTTTGTATTGCTCTAAAGTTGAAGTAAAATCAAAGTCTAAAATATATGTCTCTATAAATTTTTTGGTTTGTAACAATAGCAAAACCACTGTTTTTTCTATGTTGTGGTCTTATTCTTAGATTTTTAGTGTTATTAGAGTAGTTTTTTTTAAGTTTTTTTTATTTTATTTTTGTATTAATAATAAATAATAAAAGTTATAAGATTGCATATACAATGTTTGTATTCCATGGAATTTGATAAATATAGACATAACTTGTTATGTATTGCATACTTTCAAAAATAGTTTTGTATATTATGTTGCTTCAATACAATTAGATATACACCTTATTCAAAAGACTTTTATCATTACATTTAAGTTTTTAATTTAATTTGTATAGTTCAATGCAAATAAAAGTAGTTTACTTATAAGCAAATTTGATTTAGTACAATGTTAACTTTTAATATAGTATAACAATCAAAGTGTTATATACTTAGAAGAAATTAAATATATTATTTTGAAATAAAGCACATAGCTAATTTATATTATTATATTTGTGAGAAAATATAAAGAAGTATATTGCCAAGCTAGAAGCTTAATGATACAAATACAAAAAAAACTCACCATCTAATCAAGGAGGATTTTACAAAACTAATTGCATAATATAAGCTTTGGCTTTGGATTCTAGTAGCATAAGTCTAAAATCTAATGATAAGGATTTTTTTTTTAGTGTAAACACACTAACTATAGTTTATCATCAAGGTCTATTTGACTTGGAAATAATGGTCTTGTTAGATCATTTATGACTATATGGTAGTACCACAAATTGAAGGCAGCTACAAGTTAGCTATTGGTAGTAATCTAGTACCAACTATCTATTCACTAGTTAAATATATAATGTCTAATGGAAGTTATATATGTATTAAAATACTCTTTTAATAATATTAAAGATATCTTTTTCAATGATTAAGTCCATTCAAAGAAGATAGATATAAAAATAAATATAATAGATGTATTAATAAAATTAATATAAAATTTAAAAAATTAATTATATTTTAGATTTTTATATATAAAATATATTTAATAAAAGAAAATCCATTAATCTATGGTACTAAAAAAATTAATATTTTATTTTATTTATATATAAAAATTTGAAATCAAATTAGATTTTTTGTATGCTTTGTATTTTTTTTATTAGTATATATGTTGTATATTAGGTTTATTTTCTATTAAATAAATATTTTCATGGAAGTTCTAAAAATAACATAAATAATAGAGGTAGCACCTCCACAACATGATATATATCATATTGTCACAGATATATATACATACTCTAGTAAATATCTATATGATTAGGTAGAAGTAGGTAAAAATAGATAAAAGTAGATTAATTTTAAAATACCTTTTAAAAAAGCTTCCTAAAAGCTTCATAAATTTTGTTTTGTAATTGAAGACTTCTGAAATGTGTTGACGTCTATGAAGCTTTATAGACTTCCAAAATATATTTTAAATGTCCTATAGGACCTCCAAAACGTGTTGACTTTGTAAGACATGTATCTTAACTTACAAGACAAGTTTTTTATATATATGCCAAATAGTTAACTTGTTCCACAAGCTACCAATACATGATTAATTTGTTGATCAAGTTGCTAACCTACTAATCAGCTACAAAAACATGTAAACTATATTGATAATTTTTTTTCTTTGAATTAATATCCTTGAAAATTTGATAAAAATGCTAATTTATTATTTTTTTTTTTTTAAGAAATAAATAGATTATTTCACTTCTATTATTATATTTTAAAGATTGCGGAGTATCTATCTTTAAATAAAAAAATCTTATTTTCTAACACTGATCTTTTCTTTAAAGAGAGTAGATTATCTCTCTTCGTAAAAAATTTCATTTGATATTAGAGGTTGCACATTACTTTCTTTTAATTTAACTTTTTGAACTTATTCAAACTATCTATAAAAAGAAAGATTATGGATGCTTTTTTGAGTGGAAGTAAGAATAGATTCACAACTATTGCAAATCTTCATGAGCTTGTCAATATTCTAAGTATAGAAATCACACATATTTCCAATGTGAATCATGGAAGTATTATTCCTATGCCTATAGAAAAAATTTAGAATCTGCGGCAAAAAATTGTGTAATTAAACAAAGTAAGTAGATCAACTTCACAACCAAATCTAGCGAGTTTTGCTTCTATAAGTATAACAGGGACAAGGATTAGTATGCTTGAGAAGTTTGATAGAACAAGATCAAAACTTTGAGGATTTATGTAATAAGTCAAGCTCTATCTAAGGTTGCATCTCTTCTAATATTTCAATAGATTTACTCTAGTCAAATTCATAGGGACACTTCTATCAAGAAGTGTTTTATTTTGATTTTTCTTTTAAATAAAAAAGATTTGTAACTCTTTTATGATTTGAATTCATTCCTAGAAGTGTTTACCGATGTCGTGATGTTATACGACTATATAATGAAATATATGTTGGTCTGGATAACCAACATAGTACTTTGTGAAAGTTTTCAAAACGTTGATTTGGACTATATGAGGTAATAATGGTTCATGATAATGCCACATATTCATGAAGGGAGTTAGATGGTACCAAGTTGAAAATACCTATTGCTGGAAAGCGAGTGAAGATTTTTAAAAGATGAGATAGAAAAATCAATATGGAAGATTATGCTGAAGTAATCGATATTTTTGAAGAAGACAATTGTTTTGAAGAGGATGGTGAAAATAAAAATGATGGATTTAACAAAGAAAATAAACAGATGAAGTGATGCCAATTATGACATATGGTTCATTTGGCGCATACCGGAGGATGCGTAGGTTAAGAGCGGATGGATGTCGTAATGTAATACAATTAAATAATAAAATTATAATTAAAATTGAATTTCTAATTAATATCTAATTATCTTAGTTCAATTATAATTTGAAGTATCTTAACATGGCTTTTATAAAAGCCTCTTAGGTTATTTTTTTATCTTAATAAGTAGGTTGAAGGTTAGTTAGTAATTTTACCTTCTAAGTTATA